TAGCTCTTTTGGATCTATACTCAAAAAACTTTTTTGGTAACGGCGGAACGTTGCTTCTCTCTACAGTAATATCAAGCATGCAGATGGTTTAGAGGCGGCAGAATATTATCTGAAATGAGGCCATAGACATACCAACAACATTCAGAAGCAATATTTATTGAACTATTAAGCTTCGCAATGAAGCACAATTACTTTTGGTTTGATAATAAAGTATTACCTGCAGACCACAGGCGTAGCAATGGGCGCGAAATTCGCTCCTAGCCTAGCAAACATCTTTATGGCAAGATGGGAGGAGGAGGTGATATATTCCATGGAGTGGCCACATTTGCGTTTTTTACCGACGCTACATAGACGATATAGTGTTGCTATGGGATGGCGATGACTCTTCACTACTCAATTTTTTTACCACTCTAAACTATAACAACCTAAATATTAAGCTCACTTTCAATTATAGTTACAGTAGTATTGATTTTCTGGATCTCACCCTCATTAATGACGGTACTAGAATTACCACCAAAACCTTTTTTTAAAGGGTACAGACAGGAATGGGTACATCCCAAAAGACAGTTGCCACCTGCCTAGGTGGCTGGATAACATTCCTAGGGGACAATTCCTTCGGAATAAGGCGGAACTGTGGTGCTATGCAAGACTACATTGCACAATCCAACATTCTTAGAACTAGATTCATAGAAAAGGGCTATGACAGCCAACTATTGGATATGGAGATTTGACCGAGTGGCTAGTTTGGACAGGGCCAATCTGTTAACTACCCAACATAAGACCAATAAAGAGATTTTCTGTCCTTTTACAACTGCCTTCTCGATGCAATATAAAGAAGTTGCCACTATCATTAGGAAGAACTGGAACATTCTTAAGAACGATCCGTGATGTGTAAAGCCCTACCGGAACACCCAGAAATCATCTATAAAAAAGCACCAGCATTAAGAAACAGACTAGCCCCCCCTTCAACGTTGTAAATCCTCCTAAGCAATTGACGTTTGATTTTCTGAATAGAAAAGGGTTTTTTTCCTTGCAACAGATGTATGATATGCATTTGTAATGGCATTCACAAGAACCCGATAAAAAGTTTTTGTTCAAATGCTACCGGTAGATCATTTGACATTCAGTCTACTATTACGTGCTACAGCTCCTATGTTGTCTACCTCTGGAATGTAGTTGCGGGAAGCAATATGTCGGTAGAACGACAAGGAGACTGCGAGACAGGCTGAGGGAACACCTGGTCAATATTAAGAAAGGTTACAAGGAGCACTCCTTGTCTATGCATTACCGCCAGCGACACAATAAGAATCCACACTCCCTGCGATTTGTGGGTATAGATATCATCAAAAGTAACTGGAGAGGTACCCACAAAAAACGCGCGGTCTCTATGCTTGAGACCAAGTGGATTTATCTTCTACAGTCCCAAGCTCCACAAGGACTAAATGTAGAATTAGATATCAATTGTTTTATCGATACCAGCTGATCGATCTTTAAGCACTTTTCATGATCTCACTATCTTAATCAGATTACTTTTACTTTGCCTTTATCTGTATTCCCATTTGAGTGTCTAGATCGTTTTTTTAAAAAAAGTCGATGCACCTTTATCTCTTGATCGCTTTAACATATTCGATGCACCATAATCTCAGTACATTTGGTTTTATAATTGTATATTTTATGGGTATTACATTTAACCAGATGTTTTTTAATCCACATGTTTGTCATATTTGATGTATTTGGTTTTTATTCAGTGCCAGAATCACCTCATATATGAGATCCCACTCATTTATATTTTTATAACCTTGCCTTTCACCAGGCCGTTTTTTTGCTACAAGGGGGCACACAGCATGGTCCACGCGTTACTATACTCGCCCCGTGCGTTTTTAGGATGCAGCATCTTATTCCCAGTAAGATCACTGCAGAACCAACACCTGTATGTCCATACATTCATGTCGGTCTTCTTTAAAATGGCCCCGCCGCGGACGCTACTGCGCATGCGCGAACGGCTGATCGCTACTGCGCATGCGCGAACCGGCAATAACGGTGCCGCCGCATTGCGGTGTTTTTGGCGCCTTTTTTTTTAGGTTTAAAACACCACACTTAACACTGGCACAGTCCCCCTCTGATGATGTGTACTTACACGATACGCGTTAGGGAAGTGCCAAGCTTTGTTTATCTTATGTACATGTACCTCCGGTCTGGCCGTTTATAAGCAGCTGTACCTTTGCTAAAGTAAGTTCTTTTCTGATTGTTCAATTTTAAATAAACGTTATCACACTATTTGAGGCCTTTTTCCACGGGCTCTTTATTTCTGGGGAGCCTGTAAATCCAGTAGGTCCTGGGATTGTGCCTAACAAGAACACATCTGCAGTGACATCCCTGGATCCGTGATACAGCTTCTCCTGGAACCGATGACATCTAGTGGTCACCCTACAGACAACACCCACCTGATCCATCAACACAGTGGCTGGACACAGCTTCCATCCGGACAGATGACATCTAGTGGTCACCCTACAGATGACACCGCCTTGCTCCAGTGATACAGTGGCTGAGTACCAGGGACAGGTCTTAAATGTCCCATGCGCTTTAACTTTGCGCTATCTGGTTCTCAGTGCATTACTTGGCTTTTCTTTATCATTGCTGATATCTACTATCCCTGGCTCTTCAAGTGTTGGAGACTGTATACGTATTTAGCACATCTGATGAACTGACGCCGTCTTTTTGCCGATCCACATTCATATGGGATCTATCTTATGTGTAATCATTGTTTAAGTTAGCGCTGCACTTTCATATTTTACCATTACTCTGGAGGTTCACGAGGTGCCTTTCAGTGCCAGCAGCTACCCTATCTACATCCTCATACTGCGCTCGATTTTATATATATATTTATATATATAAGTTTATTTTATCTATTCAATCCCCTTGACTACTGGGCAACGAAACTTGACCTTTGGCCCCAACTAGCTGAATTTGCCCTTGAAAGGCTGTCATGCCCGGCCAGTAGCGTGGCATCGGAGCGCGTGTTTAGTGCGGCAGGGAGGTATTGTAACTCCGCGGAGGACACGACTGTCCACCCAAAGTGTGGAGAGACTCACGTTTGTGAAAATGAATCAGGCGTGGATTAGTCTGGATTTCAAACCACCAGTTCCTGACACAACTGACTAAATCCGCCATGAATCATGTCCCAAACATGTTATTACTTTTGACATAGGCCTCTGTATGGCCTTCAATTTAAGCTGCTTACGCTTCGCCACTCTGCCATGGGCCCCTGTACCGCCTCCTCTTGCTGCTGCCAGGTCCAGAGTGTGTCATGGGTCCCTGTACGGCCTCCTATTGCTACTGCCAGGCCCGTAATCTGCCATGGGCCCCCGTACCGACTCCTCATGCTGCTGCCAGGCCCGTAATCTGTCATGGGCCCCTGTACCGCCTCCTCATGCTGCTGCCAGGTCCAGAGTCTCTCATGGGTCCCTGTACGGCCTCCCATTGCTGCTGTCTCCATCGCCACACTCTGCCATGTGCCACTTTCAGGTCTCCTCACACTGCTGGTGGGTTCCATTTTGTCATAGGGTGCTGTATGGCCTCCCATTGCTGCTGCCTCCACCGCCACACTGTGGCTCCACACTCTGGTTTTGGCCCCGTGACTGCCCAAATGAGTGAAGTGTGCGGTGATTCTAAGATCGACGGCAGTCTCATCTGCATGTCATACTGACTGACAGTATTATTTCTCTTCCCCAGCAGACTCTAAGGGCATTTAAATTAAAGGTACAGTGTTCTGCACTAATATAAAGGCTCTCTGGAGCCTAGAAACACACCCTTTTTATAAGTTAAATTCGCAGCGAATATATTCGACTCGAATCGAATTTATTCCGCGAATTCGCCGAATCAGCCGAATCGAATTTTTGAATAATTCGCTCATCTCTAGTGGTGACATAATTTCCCAAATATGGCCATCGGCAGGGGCGGACTGACCATTTGGAAACTCGGGCACTCCCCGAGGAGTCAGTAGGGGGCCCCATGAGATGCCCCTGGTCCCTTTTTCATTGCCTTTTTTGAGTTTGGGCAAGGACACAGGGGTCCCATGATCCCATGATTCCATGATCCCCTATTGCCCAGGGGCCCCATGAGTTGTCAGTCCGCCCCTGGCCATCGGCATATATGATCTGTGATATTTTGCCCAAATAGGGCCCAAATGTGTCCATTTTTAGGCAATGATCTCACTCCCAATCTTCGCCTTCTTGCTTATGTGGTCAACCATTTCCAGCCATGTAAGTGAACGGGCCGGTGATGTCAGGGGTTGGTAAGAATGCTGCAGGTACAGGCACCAGCTGCTTCCTTAGCAATAATTGACAACAGGAAGCTGTCATGTTTTTCCACTCAAAACCCTTACATATTTCAAGTTTCTCAACCATTAACCCCAAAATAGTTTTCAGTTCTCGGGCAACCCCTGCTAAAACCAATTCATTAGTGGTCAGTGGGAAAAAATGCTACCTACATGTAAATGAGGCAAGAATACCTCATTTACATGCCACCCTTACAGTGGTGATCATAAAGCCTCCCTTACAGACAGCTACAATGATATTGGTGTCATGCAGCTAGTTTGTTGACCCCAAAACTATGCAGATATCATCAAATAGGAATCGAGTTGCCTAGAGCACATGGAACCCTAGCAACCTCTGGAGGAACCCTAGGGTTGTACAGAACTTTGGTTGAAAATGGCTAATTTAGATCAACTTTAGCCATGATTATCATATACGTCACACACATTGCACATATACTGTATGGTCTATTGCAGTCACCATCAGGAAAACCCACTATACGGTTGCTGCAACCAGGGGCAGACTGATCATTTGGAAACTCGGGCACTGTCCGAGGGCCCGGGGTCAGTAGGGGGCCCCATGAGATGCCCCTGGTACCTTTTTCATAGGGTTTTTTTGCATTTGGGCAAGGACACAGGGGCCCCATGATCCCCTATTGCCCGGGGGCCCCATGAGTTGTCAGTCCACCCCTGGCTGCAACATATGTATACAGAAAGTGACTGCATTAAGGATGCACATCAGCAATCTGGATATGCAATAAAAGATGAAAAAAAGATTGAATACAGTCTTTTACAAAAATATCAGTTGTTTTTTATACATAGACCTTTAGCAAACAAAATGTCATTATATATACAACATATACTATATATGCTGTATATATAGTAAATACCCCTAAAGTTCTTTTAAAACAATAAATATAACAGTGGATCTGTTTAGTCTTTGGTGATCTGAAGCCATCTGGTTTTCTTACAATTGTTCCAGGCCCAAATGTCATAAAGCTTTTATGGAACAGAGCTTTTCCTCAATTGCAGAAATTGATTCTCTTTATCTACATTTCTCTTTTTTTTTCAGCCAATATTTTCCAAATTCTGGAGACACTGTGCAGTCATTTCTTTCCTTCATCAGATCATAATCCTTTCTCCAAATTCTAATTCAAGAACATTTTTTTTTCATTTTCTGAATACTTTGAACCATCTGCATAACAATTTGTATTTCCTTCCAGCCTTCCCTACAACCCCCCTTGATTTGATATATACGGCGACAGGAAAAACACAGCATCCAAGACTTTTACAGCTGCAATGCTCCCGCTTCGCCTTTCCTCCATCAAGCCTATTTTTGCTTTTTTGCCAATAACAAATCTATTTTACTGACAACATTATCTTGACGGGAGTGGAAAATGCAGCATGCTAAAGCATGAATTCAACTTTGGGAGCAAGAGTCAGGGATTATTTTAATACAAATCTGGTACAATTTATACATATTCAAAAAATATCTTATTGTAATATTCTGGCTTTTACCATACTGAAAATGATTGCTCTGCTTTTTTCTAGGTTTGTTGGGAATTCTTTTTACATCAATAGAAATACTTAAAAATGCAAGAGTTAGAGTGATATGTATCATTGAAGGATATTTGTTATCATCAACACAACATGTCTCAATATTTTGAAAGTGTTTGTAAAGGTGTGGGCTGGCAAAATCCTACTGCAGCCTTGGAATGATCAAGGATAAAATAACATGCGGCCATACAAAACTAAAAGTCATGTTCATAAATGCTAGACGTTTGGTGAACAAAATGGAAGAACTAGAACTACAGACAGGTTAAAAGGATGTTGACGTCATGGCAAGTAACAGAGACCTGGTTTGACAGCACACATGGCTGGCCTAAGATTTTCTAGGGGTACTCCCTATACCAAAAGGACAGGATAAGTAGATGAGGGAGAGGGGTGTGCATGTACATTGAAAGTGATGTGCTGATGAACAGGGGAAATGACATAGCCAATGGGACAATGGAAGGTGTGGAATCCTTGTGGCTGGAGCTTCAAAGGGAAGAAAGAAAAGTTGAAGCGGAACTTTACCCATAACAACTTGAGAAAAAACATGTTCTTTAGCAAGGAACATGCATTCCACAATAATATTTATGCTACCAAAAGTAGTAGGTGCTGTAAATTGTCTCCATCATTGCTCTTATTTTTGCTTTCTGGAGGATGCCATTTTGCTGAAGCCCAGAGGCCCTGAACAGCAGTAAATCATAAAGCAGAACTAAACCCATTAATTTAACACAGCGGTTCTCAACCTGTGGGTCGCGACCCCTTTGGGGGTCGAACAACCCTTTCACAGGGGTCTCCTAATACCATCGGAAAACACATATTTTCGATGGTATTAGGAACTGAGACACCGCTCCTCTATCAGTTTTCAGGCAGGTCCGCCCACATGCAGATACGTCCACATTTCCTTGGACGCGATGTGTGCGCAGGATGATATGCCGCCCCTGTCATCTGGCCATATCCCCGGGATCACTCAACAGCTCCGCCTCTTCGCCAGTGATTGGCCGCCGGAACTGTAGCTCAGGAGAGGCACACAGGCGGCCAATCACCCGGCGAGGAGGAGGAGCCGAGCAGCAGCGCGAAAGATCAAAGAAGATCGAGCAAGGGAGCGGCTGGACAAGGAAGACAGCTGACAGGTAAGTGTCTGTAGCGTGCAGATGGTGCTGCTGCAGCCAGGTATGCTGGCTGTAGATGGGAGAGGGAGGGAGCGAGCCCAGGCTGGAGGAGGAGTCAGCAAGGTAAGTATCATTGGTGTCAGTAGGAGGAATAGTGCCCCATCATTGGTGTCACTAATACCAATGATGGGGCACTATTCCTCCCACTGAAACCAATGATGGGGCACTATTTCCTCCCCCCCCCCAACACCAATGATGGGGAACTATTCCTCCCTCCACTGACACCAACGATGGGGCACTATTCCTCCCCCCACTGACACCAACGATGGGGCACTACCCCCCCACTGACACCAATGATGGGGCACAATTTCCCCCCCCCCACACTAGTATCAATGATGGGGCACTATTCCCCCCCCCCCCCACTGACACCAATGATGGGGCACTATTCCTCCCACACTGACACCAATGATGGGGCACTATTCCTCCCACACTGACACCAATGATGTGGCACTACTCCTCTCACTGACACCAATGATGTGGCACTACTCCTCCCATTGCAAAATTACAGTTATGAAGTAGCAACAAAAATAATTTTATGGTTGGGGGTCACCACAACATGAGGAACTGTATTAAAGGGTCGCGGCATTAGGAAGGTTGAGAACCACTGATTTAACAGTTTCAGAAACCAGTTACATTCCCGGAATGCTGGGATTGATAACTATCACATTTGCTTCTGTCCTCAACCAAACTGTCAAACCATCAAATGTCAAACCATCAACTGACTGGTGTCATAACTGATCACATGTGCAGCACCATGGCAGGTGCAGATCAAACAGAAGCAGCTCCCTTGTTTGTAAAGGATAGAAGAGATTAATCCTGCTTTAATGGTGTCAGCAGATCTGCCTCTGCAAATTCAGCAGTGCCTAAAAATGGAAAGCAACTGAGCATGTGCAAAGCAGGGTCAGACAGTGTATTGCTGGATTTTAAACAGTATAGACACTTATTGTTAATGGTCTACATAGCTATACCTGAAAAATGGGCCAGCCTGAAGTGATCTAGCAGAACTTAATTTTCTGACTAAGTTCCACTTTAAGTTATTGGGTGAAGGTATGCTACAAGCCCTCTACACTGAAGAGTAAGAAGAGGGTTGAACTTCTTTCACAGTTAGAAATGGCAGTGAGGCAGGGCAATGTTATCATCATGGGGGACTTCAATTGTCCAAATATTGACTGGGCAGATGGAACTGCCCACGCCTCTAAGGCTCAGCACTTCTAATATGTCTTGGGGGACAATATTATGTGTCAGTTGTTGAATGCCCCACCTAGAAACAAGGCTCTGCTTGACCTACCAATCAAAAACAACCCAGATCTGAAAGCGGATGCATCAGTAAGGGATAACTAAGGAAACAGCAATCACAGGGCAATTATGTTCACTATAAAGCAGAGGAAAAGCAAACACTAGGGTAAGTACATTAAATTTCAAGAGAGCCAACTTTACCAAACTGTGCCCCATGCTTCATGACATTAAATGGGAAAATATTTTAGCAACAAAAAATTAGTCAAAGTGAGAGTGCTTTAAGAACATTTTTTTTATTAATGGCAGTGTATTCCAATGGGCAACAACAAATAAAAAGAACCAAGGTTAAACCTGGTTGCCTAAATTTGAGCATAAAGAGACACAATAAAGAGAAAAGGCTGTCCTTTTTAAAAAAAATAAGGATGAGGGACACCATCAACATTCCAGAATTACAGAGAACATAATAAGAAATGTAACAGCGCAATCAAGGCAGCAAAAATAGACCACGAGACACATAGTGGAGTATAGTAAGAAAAAAAAAACACCCCAATTTTTTAAAATATATTAATAGTTAAGGAAAGCAAAGTCAGAGCAAAGTCAGAGCATATTGGCTCCATAGAGGATGCTCAATGAATGCTGGTTAGAAGTGACAAAGGAGAAGGCAACTGTATTAAATACATTCTTCTCCTCAGTTTTCCCTATCGAAAAGGAGGCGCAAGATGGTATTGTAGGCAACACAGTAAGGAGTGTTCTAAAAAGACAGGGAAAACCTAACTCAAACAAATCATCAGGACCAAATGGATTACATCTGTGTGACCTCAAAGATATTGTCCAGGTCATTGCTAGACTGATACTCCTAATCTTTAAGGAAAGCTTACTGACTGGCATGGTACCAGCAGATTGGCAAAAAGCTAACAAGTTACCAATATTCAAGAATGGGCCAAGATACATACCTGGAAACTATAAGCCAGTCAGCCTACCATCAATAGTTTGTAAACTATTGGAGGGGATGATAAGGGACCATATCCAAGAATTTGCTGATAAGAATAGTATCATTAATAGTAACCAGCACAGATTTATGAAAGATCATTCTTGCCAGACCAACTATTAAAATTCTAAGAGGAAATGAGCTGTAATCTGAATAGAGGAAGGCATGTGGATGTAATGTATATAGACTTTGCCAAAGTATTTGACATTGTACCCTATAAACACTTAATCCACAAATTGAGTTATGTTGGCACTGATGATAGTATATGTATCTTGATAGAAAACTGGTTACAGGGGCGTGATCCAGAGGGTGGTCAAAAATAAGGGCTTCGTCCTGGGACCAATCCTGTTTAACTTGTTCATAAATGATATAGAGGTTGGGATAAGTAGTTAAATCTCAGTGTTTGCTGATGATACGAAGCTAAGCAGGGCAATAACTTCACAATAGGATATAGCAACTTTACAGGAAGACCTTGATAAAATAGAGGGATGGGCAAACACATGGCAAATGAGGTTCAAAGTAGGGCAATGTAAAGTTATGCATTTGGGAGCTAAAAAATATGAATGCAAGCTACATGATAGGGGGAGAACCTCTGGGGGAATCGAGGATGGAAAAAGATCTGGGGAACCTAGTTGATGACAGGCTCAGAAATAGCATGCAATGTCAAGCTTCAGCAAGCAAGGCCAGTAAAATATTAGCATGCATTAAAAAGGGTATTTTTTCAAGAGATAATACTATAATTCTGTCACTTTACAAAACTCTCGTTCAGCCACATTTTGAGTAGGCCTTCTAGTTCTGGTCGCCAGTACTCAGGAGGGTTGTGCCAGAACTGGAGAGAGTCCAGAGAAGGGCAGCAAAACTAATAGGGGGACTGGAGGATCTCAGTTGTGAGGAACGATTACAAAAATTAAACTTGGGAGGAAACTATTTATCTCTGGTCCCTCAAGAAGACACATGGAAGATGGACTAGAGGCCGTTTACTCTTAAACTGCGTAGGGGGTTCTTTACTGTTAGAATGGTAAGGATGTGGAACTCCCTACTACAATTGGTGGGTTAAGCAGGAAGTGTCACTATTTAAGAAAAAACTTTTAGATGGCCATCTTATTGAACACAATACATAGGGATATGGGAAGTGGTAGAGCTGTAAATACACACACCCACACAGGATGAACTAGATGGATAGGTGTCTTTATTCAACCTTACCAACTATGTAACTCAGTGTATTTTAAATCCGAATTCCAGGCAAACCGCTCAAATCAGTTCAAATATTTGAGTTGTTTACCTGCATTGATTACAGGATTTGCCATTCTGTTCACCTGATCTTGTGATTCGCACCCTTGCCAAACAAATCCCTGGCCTTCAATGCAGTAGCAGTGCAACTTAGCAATGAAGAAGCAAAAACACACCAATAAGTAATCACTCATTACAGTCTGCTCTCTCCTCCTGCCATCATATTCCTCATCTACATACACTATATTGCCAAAATTATTGGGACGCCTGCCTGTATACGTACATGGACTTTAATGGCATCCCAGTCTTAGTCCGTAGGGTTCAATATTGAGTTGGCCCACCCTTTCCAACTATAACAGCTTCAACTTTTCTGGGAAGGCTGTCCATAAAGTTTAGGAGTGTGTCTATGGGAATAATGGAGAATCATTGTGGATAGGACTTTTTAAATTTGTAAACAGGTCCCATTTATAATACAACCATATAACAGTTTAAAAGAGATATGAATATTTTATTACAAAACATAGTATCACAAAATCATCAAAACATGATCTGCGAAGTAACATTCAACAAGTCATGACAGTTTGTACGTATACAATAGATTGCCAAGTCACTGTTTGAAAATAAGCGTGCAGGATCAACATGTTGCGCTCATATCGTTTCATCAGGATCCATGCCAACGCAGAGACCAACCCCTGAAGAATGACCGCACATCATAATCCCCCCTCCACCAAACTTTACACTTGGCACAATGCTGTCAGGCAAATACCGTTCTCCTTGCAACCGCCAAACCCAGACATGTCCATCGGATTGCCAGACAAAGATGTATGATTCATCACTCCAAAGAACAAGTCTCCACTGATCTAGAGTCCAGTGGTGGATTGCACGTAATGCTTTGCAGTGTACTTGGTGATGTAATCCCATTCCATGGAGCTCTCTACGCACTGTTGTTGTGCTAATCTGAAGGCCACATAAAGTCTTTAGCTATTGACTCTGCAGACAGTTGGTGACTTCTGCGCACTGTGTACTTCAGCATGCTCTGGCTCTGCTCTGTCATTTTACGAGACTGAGTTGCTGTTGTTCCCAGTTGCTCCCACTTTGTTATAATACCACTAACAGCTGACCGTGGAATATTTAGTAGCAAGGAAATTTCACGGATGGACTTATTGCACTGGTGGCAACCTATCACGGTACCACGCTTGAATTCACTGAGCTCCTGAGAGCGACCTATTCTTTTGCAAATGTTTGTAAAAACAGTCTGTGTGCCTAGGTGCCTAGGTGCTTGATTTATACACCTGTGGCCATGGAGATGATTGGAACATCTGAACCCAGTAATTTGGAGGGGTGTCTCAGTACTTTTGGCAATATAGTGTACATGTGCACAGCACATGCTGATTGGCTCCTAATGCTGACCCTTCCTTTCTTTGCAAATGGCAGTCCGAAATGTTGAGGGTGAATGACACTTCCCTATATAAAAACAACAGCACACAGGAATGGCTATAATGAAAACAAAACCCATAAAAATTCACCATTGGGAAATACATGTGTTCCTCCATCATTAACAACTTCTCTATCTTATGTGCTTGCTTCAGAATAAAAAAAACTTCATTTTCTGCAATTCCGTATGTACCTCTCTTG